ATAAACTATATATATATATATATATATATATATATATAGATATATATAGATATATACTGTATATATAGATATATATATATATATATATATAAAGGCATAGAAAATGTTTTAGAAATCCATTTTAATGTTACATTTATATATGAATTTTCTTTTTAAACCAAGCACTGGTTTTAAAATCCATGTATAAACAATATTTATTTTGTTACCATATAAATGAGATTGTTATAACTCATAGAAATCTGTCTCGCAGTTCATGTCAACGTGAGAAAACACATTTCGACTGATTGATTCACGGTTATGAAACTATACATTTCAAAGTATTATATAAAAATGAAGTTATTCTTGGTTTATCATTTCCCTAAACTAAAACACTCACATTGAGATACTCATTTATGGTTTACTATATTTATAATTAAATCGATAATAAACTTACTATTAAGCTCTATAAACTTACAGAGAAAGTTGGATAAAAAATAAGATGAAATTATGTAAGTTGATGCATGTATTAAGGGAGTTTTAATACAGGAAAATAACATTAAAATAATTTGTGAATCAATCTTATTTGTTGAAAAACTTTTACCAGGTTAGTTTTACCAGGTTTTTCTCAGGACTGGACAATGCATTTTGATTTTGTTGATCACAAACTATGCGTAGCTCAAACACTGTTGTTCCATTTCTGCTGTATTTATATCTAGCTGATTTGTAATTTTATTGCAAATATGCTATTTTTTCCTATTCGAATAAAAGGCAATGCTAACTATGTAAATATAATCTCCTATAGTAGTGCAGTAACTAATTCTCAGTAACACAGACACAATCACAGTGGCACATTAGCGGGATCAGTGATTTATTCATTTTGTTTCTCCTTTGCCTGAATGATAATATACACACAGACATCCCAGGCTTCCGGTTGGATGTTTCGGTGTAAACAGGATTCGGGACAGAAACCAAAAGATGTCTGGCGGCCGTGAAAAGAAAACACAACCATTTCCCACCAGTACCTTTGGATGACGGCTTGGAATTAAATGACTAATTTTAATAAAACTGAACAAACTTTGTATTTAACACAAGTGACCTGACTGTCAAGTAAATTAAATTTCATTATTGTGATTTGTGAGTGACTTTAACTAAATTCAGGTGCACCAGTTGGCATATTTTAGCTATGTGTTAGACTTTACACCTGCTAGAATATTAATTTAGATGCAATGTAAAGATTGCTTGTATTTAGTCCAAAATATCTTGGTCATGGTATGCGTTTCAACGTTTACGAAACTCTTAAAATACAGAAATGTAAACAACAATTTGGACACATCTAGACCTATTTAAGTACTGCTTGTACTTTTTTTACAATGAAAAAGTCCATGCCCCGTTGTCTTCGCACATCAGAATCTACAGATTTGTTTAGAAGCATTTAGATTGTTTCTTGTAAAAGGTTCTTGAGCTGTGCTTATTTGTCTCCTGATTCAGAAAAGATGACTGGAGAATGCAATATTACGAATAAAGGAATCAGCAGCTTAAGATCAACCCACTTGATGGATTTATTACAAACATGCAGCTTGTAGATTATTGTGCCGTTTTGCTCAGCTGTTTTGACTCTCATTCTGACGGCACCCATTCACTGCAGAGTATCCATTGGAGGGCAAGTGATAGAACAGTACATTTCTGTTTTGATAAAAATAAACTCATTTGCAGTACATCTTGGACGGCCTGAGGGGGAGTACATTTTCAGAAAATAACTACTCCTTTAAGTCGTGCCAATTTCATCAATCAAGAGACTTTTCCAAGTAGAACTAACAGGAAATTGGAAAAAACCAGGTCATTGAAATTCACTAATCAAATGTAAAATAATGCAAAGTCACTGTATAAATTACATCTAAATGAATCCTTGTTAAAGTTGTTAGCTCATTTTGCTCCACACTCTAAAAAATGCTGGGTTGTTTCAACCCAACTTTGGGTCAAATATGGACTAACCCAACCGTTGGGTTAAATTTTTACATAAAAATTTTAACCCAAAAGTTGGGTTAGTTCATATTTGACCCAAAGTTGGGTTGAAACAAACCAGCATTTTTTTTTAGAGTGCACGCAAACTTGATCTTTGCGAGTGCTGTGCATGTGAAAACATTACACAAATCAACATTCCTCCCTAATTTGCAATGTGCTTTCCAACCAGAATAAAAGCTCTATGGTTGAACGTTTCAAAGCAAATAAATGAAGACAGCCATAAATATTTGCACTGTAATCTTAATGTTGTTGTTAATACTTAATTTTAACAGTACAATAATATTAATACAAAAATGTACTATATTGTACAGCAAAAACAGTAATATGTGACCCTGGAGCACAAAACCAGTCTTAAGTCACTTGGGTATATTTGTAGCAATAGCCAAAAATACATTGTATGGGTCAAAATTATAGATTTTTCTTTTATGCCAAAAATCATTACGATATTAAGTAAAGATCATGTTCCTTGAAGATATTTGGTAAATTTCCTACTGTAAATATCAAAACTTAATTTTTGATTAGTAATATGCATTGCTAAGAACTTAATTTGGACAACTTTAAAGGTGATTTTCTCAATATTTTGATTTTTTTGCACCCTTACATCACAGATTTAATAGTTGTATCTCAGCCAAATATTGTCCTATCATAACAAACCTAATCAATGGAAAGCTTATTTATTCAGATGATGTATAAATCTCAATTTCAAAAAAT